AGTAGAATCTTAACCTTTGGTATGATAGTCTCAGCCCCGGGAAAGTATTGGTTGATGTGCTTTGAGACCTCTTTTACAATGTCCCATTTCCGTTTGGTGTTTAGAACACCGCCCACCATTACAACCGGGAAATACTAAATGGAGGTGGATCTCTAACAAGCTAACCCCTAAAAGACGCCACAAAAATCTTCCGCATTGTTATTTCGGTTTTTAAATCCACTATCAATTTCGGTTTACGTGATTTTGGTTTGATTTATAGGGATGACAGAGGCGTGCTCTTCGCTTACTTGACACAGGTGATATTGGGACTATCGATGAGTTTGGTAACTTATGGCTTATAGGTCGGTCCAATGGACGAATCAAAACTGGAGGCGAGAATGTTTACCCCGAAAAGGTTAGCTTCCAACACAAGTAACTTGTCGATATTAGCCTCAGATAGTCGTGCATCTTCTCAACGTTTGAATCCATTAATGCTCGCAGGTCGAAGCATCCTGTTAAAGCATCCTGGGATTGTGTCTACAGTGGTGATAGGCATCATTGATGTTCGTCTTGGAGAGATGGTCGTTGCTTGTGTCCGTTTAAAAGAGAATTGGATATGGTCTAGTGTCGAAAACCGTGACCGAGATTTCGAACTGTTTAGTGAGACACTCAAGGATCATTGTAGAATACAGAATCTAACCGCGCGCGTAAAAAAATAAAGATCTTGAAAAAACCAGTTTATAAACAAGTTGAAAAAGTGTAATGAACTTTTGGACTGGTTTAAGATTCCGAAGAGATTTGTCCCGTGGGAGAAGCAGTTTCCGATGACAACAACTGGGAAAAGGAAAAGATATGAAGTTAAGAGACAAGTTATGTCTCATTTCCAAATCTCTGATCATTGATTAATTCTAAAAAACTTAAAATGTTCTCTACTTTTGTTATACAGAATCTAATTACTTTTGGTTATGATCCTTTTATACATCCAATTTAGTTGGTTACTCTGTTTTTACACTTGAAGAATCAATAACAGAACATTTTAACAAACTCGATCGAAATATTATTGTACATATATTGGAGTATACTATAATGTATGTATGAATATGTATGTTATTATTGTTCATCTGAAAAAGACAAAAATTGGGATCCTGCAGGGGCTTTTCCGTAAATTTGCTAAAAGCTTTGTTCTTGACTCTCCCGCTTCACATTTCCCAAAGTATTTTATTTTTCCAGGTCGGTCCATCTTCTTCTCATTTAGAAACCCTAAAAGCTTTAAAAGAAGACCCACCATTGAAACTGGATTTAGATTTCTCATTTTCTCCGGGGAAAAAACCCACACAGCTGATTTTGTAAGTTACTTTTGCCTACTTTTTTTTTCTTTTTGCTATGGTCGTTTGAAATTTTAAACTTTCTTGTTCAGGTTTTGTAATCTCTCATTTAGTGTCTAAATTTCCGTTTGTTTTGGATTATTATTATTACCTTTTTTAGCCAATGTTTTTAGTTTTGATTTTCTCGGTTAGTGTAAAGCGTTTCTTTTCTTATTCCTACTTTCTCTCTGTTTCAGGGATTTTGCTTCTTGGTTATGATGAGTGATAACAATGGTAGTTTAGATTCTCATGATCATGATGGATCAATCCTTATTAATAGTGTCATCAAGGAGAATGAGAATCCGAATATTGTTGATTTTCTTGAGGATTTAGATCCTTACTTGGATGATCAAGAAAATCGGTTAACGAGTCTTGAAACTGTGAACCGATTCGTGAGTGATTCGGTTACTAGAGGAATGCTAAATGCAGTTAAGACCGAGGCAAGAAAGATTGTGGGTTCCGAAGAAAACAATACCTCGCTATCTCGTTCGATTCTTGATCAAGCGTGTGTGGAAAGATTGTTGGATCAAAATGTAGAATCTTGTAGCAAGAAGAAAACTAAAGAGATTGCTGGTTTGCGCCGTGAGCTAGAGTTGATATATAAGTTTCTTTCGGGTTATGCGAATGTGGACATTGATGAAACTTTGGAGAGTAAAAATAATGCGGATCAGTTGCACCGCAAAATCTTCGGAAACATTGGTTCAACTTCAACGTCTTCAATTTGGGATGAAAATGGTAAGCACATAGAGTGTTTAAGACATTTATCGCACGAAGAGTTGATCAACCACTTTAAGAACGAGATGAATCAAATGAAAAGAGAGCATGACTATAGAATACAAGAGGTGACTGAAGAGTACTTTAGCATTAAGAGAAGGTGTTTGAATTTAGAGAAGCGCGGTTCGTTTTCTTGTTTGAAGAAGGACAAAGAGTTTGATGTCCTGCGAAAGAAGATCCCGGATATCATTTCGAAGTTGGATAAGGTTTTATCGGAAGATGAGAAGTCGGTGTTTGAAGGAAAGAACAATGCTGCTCTCAAGAGCCAAGTGGATTCTCTGCTACTTGAAAACCGTCAGCTTGGAGAGTTGAACAAGAATGCATTAGAGAAAGAACAAGCTTTGAGATCAGAGATGGTTGAGAAGGAAAGATTAAAAGAGGAGATTTATTGGCTGGATTCTCTTGCCAAGGAGAAGGAGAATTTGGTTCAGATAGCTGAGAATGCTTTAGATACAGAGAAAGAGAAGCTTGAGGTAGTCTTTCAACAGATTAACACTCTGCAATTTCAGATTGATCAGCAAACAGTAGTGATTCAAGATAAAAACAAAGAACTGAAACTTGTTTCAGCTCGTGCTGCGGAGAAAAGAGTAGGTTATGAGATGGAGATATCCGAGTTAAGACAGAAGCTTGAGTTAGCTAGAAAGAATATGAAGATAACTGAAAATGAGAAAGTGAAGTTTGAGCTGAAACTATCATTAACAGAGGCAGAGCAAAAGAGGCTTAAGCATCAGTTTGTATCGACATTTCTGAGTCTTGCTACATGGAGCCAAGGTTTCGACTATCTTGAATGTGTACTAGCAGAAAAGATGAAAAAGACAAATTCTAGGTAACACTCTCAATCTATGTTTGCTTATAATGTTTTCGTTCGACATAGACATATGAGTTATCTATGCATACGTTTTGACTTGTAGGTTGGAAAGTATGCAGAGCCAATTAAGTGATCTTTTAGATGAAGTTGATGAACTCAAGGCGAGAGAATCAATGTATAAGCAACAAATGGAGAAGAAGACTTGCGATCTCCACACGGCTGAAGCTGAGGTTAGTCTCTACGTTTCTTCTATCTTCACAATTCACATAGATGAGTTTGAAGCTTCTTTTAGCTCAGTTTAATCAGTTGGATCCTTTTCATTTTCTTGAACCTGCCTCGCCTTTGTGCTGTTTGCTTTCTTTGACCATTTGGTAGCATGACAATCTCTTTCATCTGTTGCTTGATTCATAGGTTGATCTCCTTGGCGATGATATCGAATTTCACTTGGACCTTCTTGCGAAAATATATATTGCCCTTGATCATTACTCTCTAATACTCAAGCATTACCCTGGTGTAAGCAAATCTTTCCTCTGTATCCACAAATTCTCTTATAACTTTGATTTGATTTTTTGATGTTTGTCTCTTGCAGATTATCGAGATCTTGAAGCTTGTCCGGAGAGAATTAAGAGGAGAATCAAGGAGATTATCAGTCTTTCGACCAAGTCTTATATGATCAAACATTCTCTTTCGCACAAGTTTCATTGCATTTCTATTGTACAAATCCAAATCCCCTGTCAATGTTTCTTTGACTCTCTCTACTTGTTGAGTAGGTATTTTGTAACCAAAGAGATCAATCAAATAGCAAGAATTGGACTTTGACAAGGAGATTATGTACTTTTGTACAAATGTACAACACTCTGGAAAATATATATCACTGTGACACGCTTAAAAATTGAAAGAACCATCCGTTTTGACAACAAAGCTTTAATTGATGATTGATTCTCTCTTTGCTAACTTGTCAAGAAGTTCATGGCTAACAATGCTGCTCCAACAGCTGGCTCTACCTGAAGAAATATATCAGTACTGACTTACGT